GAGCCTCCTTTTCTCCAGGATGAGCCCCCTGAGCTCCTCAGCCACATCTCAGAGCACTTGTGCTCCAGACCCTTCCCCATCTCCTCTGCTCTTCTTTGGAGTCCAGCACCTCAGTGTCTATGGACAATGCCCACAGCGCTCCACAGAACTGAGGTTCTCCTCCCTTGCAGAAAATACTGAGATCTGAAGTCCCCCAGCAGTGCCCAGTGCCCCCAGCAAGGGGCTGTTGAGCTGCTTTACCAACACAGGGCAAAGACTTGGTGTCCAGCCTGAATTGCCTGGAGCTTAATGAGGTGGGACACACGTTCCTCCCGGTGCTGAACTGCTGCAGGGGGGTGTTGGGTGTTGTTGAACAGCTGCTGGATTCTGCCCTGAAGGGAAACCTCTTTCAGGGTTGTATTTGGGGTTGTAAAGTTCGAAGCTCTGCCCAGGGAACAGCAAAGCCACGGGGCTGGGCTGAATTATTCCGAATGTTCAGTCACACAGGACAATAACCATAAAACAAGGGGTCATGGGCTGGCTGGGCCTGGGGGGGGGGTTGTGCAGGGACAGAAAGCACAGGTCACCCTGAGGGCAGGAGCAGCAATACCTGAGTGCTCAGAGCCCATTAACAGTTACCCTCTGGCCTGTGGCACTGGCTGGATCCAGACAGCTCAGAAATAGTGCAACACTAGTGGAGAGACTGTACTCATGCAATGGGAGGTTCTGGGAGAGGTTTCCTGACTCACTAAGGAATCCAGTACAAATGTGAGTGAAAATTCAGATTTTTTTATTCTTCAAATACTTTGGAAAAAACTCAAACTTTCTGATTCTCGGTGATACCTTTAAGGCCAAGGGGCCAGCTCTGTGGTTAGCAAGGGCTGGGCTATTTCTATTTATCAAGGATCCCATTTGAATCCCCCTGCCAAGGACTGAATATTTAGGATTTCCATGGCAACACATTTCTGAGCCCATATTACAGTCAGACTGATGCTGTCAACTGATCCAGGGATGCAGGAGGTAGGGGCTGAATTTATTCAAGCAATCACATTCTCTTTTCCAAGGCTAATGCACATGGATACTGAGGCAGCAAACTGAATTGACAGGGATTCCATCCCAATGAACATGTATAACGTTCCAGCCTTGGAGAGCAGCATTTAATTGATGAGAGGGATCATATTTACATAGCAATTATAACAAAGCCAAGGTTGGCCTTATGTGAAAGACTATTTGCTGTAATGTCTTGGTGCTTGGTTGTCCAGGAAAGCTGTTCCTTTATGGGCAAGGAAAAAAAAAAAAAGAGAACAGATGCACTCAGCCCTTTCTTTTCATACTCTGCAAATATTCCAAGAAGCCAGCTCAGGAGTCACAATGTGGTTGCCTTGGCTACATACATTTATTTACTCCATTATAACTTAGATGCTGATTGTTTAACCCCCCAAGTATTAATAGTTAGTTCCTGCTGTCCTCAGATGGCTGTTCAGGGGCCGATGGAAATGAGTAAGGGCTCATTCTAAATCCCACATAAGTCAATGGGCATCTCTCTCCTCATTTAATTCAGAGCTGGAATTAGCCATCCCCGCTGCACTGCCCCTAAATATTGATTTTTTGTCCTCAAGACACCTTTGCAAGGTAAGGCAATGCCACTGACTCAGGTCACAGATGGAAAGCTGGGGCTGGAAAGGCGACCTCAGAATCACCCAAGAGTCCTGACCCTCATCATCCCTTCAGTCTGGATTTCTTTCCATGGAAAGGTGCATGCTTGAGTTTTGCTCCAACACAAAAGTGGATTCAGGAGAAGGAAAGTAGCTGGACCTCAGAGCACTGCCCATCCTGTAGTTTTGTGCAGTCAGAGACCAACAGGGGCATCCAGGTCTTTCCTTACAGGGCCTGGTATGGAGCTCAGTTCTGCTGGTGGGTCTGGGAACAAGAGGGTGGTGAGGAGCCCAAACCATCCCTGATTTATGGCAAGGCAAGGAGAAATCTCCCTGACACTGATGTTGGGTGCTCAGAGTTCCTGTAACACCGAGAGGAACCAAGAGCTGTGATCAGAAGCCCGACACAAATTCTACGCTCGCCTTTTTTGGCTGACCCACAGGAGGCCAGGTCCTGGCATCCTTAAATTCCCAGATGGCCAGAAGTCCTTGTCCTTCTCTTGAACTCTGCCAACAGACACTGGTTTAGGTCCATCTTGGTTAGTATCCTTACCTAAGGATACACTATGCTAGAGACAGAGAGGGGCTCTCTTGAGTCTTTTACCACAAAAAAGAGCTTTTTTCTCTTAATTTAAGCTTTCACTACTCTTAGTCTGTGTGACATAGAAATTTTCTCCTTAACAGGCATTAGAATTAACTTGTTGACATAATTAACAGAGCACATAATAGATGACTGAACTGCTCTGATATTTATCTTCAGGTCAACAGCTCTTGAGACTCCAGAGGCAAATTAGAAAAAAAAGTATAGGCTCTTTATTAGTAGAACTTAATTTAACTGTATTTAAACTTCATTAAGGAGTAAAAAAAAATGACCTTTCTTAATGCACTCTTGCTTTATAAAGTATGAAATGAGAATATTAGATTAGTTTGATCCTGGTTCTTATTATGCACACACAGTAGATGAGAATGCAAAAATTCCCTCTTTCAGTTAGGTCCTCTTGGATGTCAAATCAAAGACCAGGTGCTCCACAGCACATTTCCTTTCTTCAGTGTTTTATGTTTCCTAGCCCTGTAACTCTCCCCGGGAAACCAGCAGAAATCTTAATTTCTTACCCCCCCACCACCACCTCTGCCTAAAGTAACAGCTCTGGTCATTTAAACCATCCAGCACATGTTCCTCCACTGTCTGCACCTCATGCTGTCCATAAATGGGGATGTGGTAAGAAAAAACCATGGAGGAGAGGAAAGGAAATGACATTAACCTTTTCCATCTGATAAATAAGGGCTCTATTCAGCTGCAATAATCCACATCCTTCCCTAGAGATCCAGTTAATGTAATACCTGAGGGCTCAGTTCAGTTAAAATGATTTCCACACTGGCCAGCTGATTTCTTGGTGAATTATTCAGTCCCCAGACCGAACCATTCTCCCTGTGCAACAGCACATGGAAAAGGACTGGAGCCCTCCTGTTGCTCCCAAGAGTCTGAAGGACCTCTCAGAGGGTCTGTGACACCCACGTGGTTTATCTGTGCCCCCCAACAGGAATTTTGGCGTTGATTTTCATGGCACCACCAGCCTGTAAGGGCTGAAGATCCCACACCTTGCCCCATTTGCTTCTCTTCTCTGCGGGGCTTTCTCCCTGCCCTGTCAAACCTTCAGCACCTACATTTTACAGGCAATAAAAAAAACCAGTTTGGACTTGGAATGGGTGGAAATTCAGAGCAACGGACTCAGCGAGAAAGGCAGCCTGGGTTGTGCACGTGGCTGCTGGGTTTGAGGTGAGGATGTGGATCAGGGTGGCTTGGGGGATCTACACCCCCAAAAAATAACCAGTGGAGCTGAACTGTGGGGTTTTGTTTCCCTTTCTCCCTTTGCAGTGCAGAGGTGGCTCCAGTGGGAGTGGGATCTGCCCAGCTGGTGACAAGGGTTGTTTGAGCGCACTGAGGGAGATGTTTTCAAGGCAGGCCAGGGAATCAGGACATGCAGATCCACTTGCAAATCCCTGGGAAACACTGGAGGGACATGAAAATCTCAGTTTTATCTTACCTCTATTGATCCACTCTCGATTGAAAGCCGTGGGAATCTTGTCATTAGTATCAAGACATTTTGGACTAAATTCCTACATTATGAGACACATTCCTCCCTTTTTTTTTTTTTTTTTTAGATTTTAGGGAGTGTACCTAATTGAGCACAATAAACCAGAGTTGTATGCAATTTTGCAACCTTTCTGATGGTGTAATGAGCTCTGCTCCGAGGGTTCATTACTGGGCTGCCTTGAAACTTGCTGGTTAAACAGGAAAAACAAGAAATCTGACCTCACTGTAGTGTTTAATTGAAGTGCATTTATTGACTGGTTTTAAGCTCTTGTAGCAACTGTGTTTGCTGAGAACTGAGGGCCAGCTCTTGGTCTGATGCACCTTTAGCTCCCAGGGCAGACACAGCCTTGACACACAAACCCATCCTGCTCCAGGCTTGGGCTGGGACTGGGCAGGAAGCTAAAGCTGGAGATTGGCACATTCTCCCTCATGGCCACATTCCTCAGCTTCTCCCCCTCTCCAGGACCCCACAGGAGAGTCAGCCCATGGGGGAAAATGTGCCACAGGTGAAGGAAGAGCATCGTGCTGGGCACGGTTTTGGTGTTCTCGTTTGGTGCTGGGTCGGGTAACATGAGCCAGTAAAGAGAATAAACCCCTTTGAGTCTAAAAGATCTTAAAGATTCAGCCAGTGTGGATCTCCTGCTCATAATTCCGAGGAGGGAGGACTGAAAAGACTGCTATAAATCAGTGCCAAACAAACTGCAGCTGGATCTCTCTGCCACTGAATCTCCCTTTGATAGGGTGACCCTGAGACTGACAAGTGCTTAATGCTCTGCAATCTCATCCCCATCCCATCTGCAGCAGAAATCAAGGCAGAAACCTGGTGTGTGTAACCCTAAGAACAGTTTCTGACTTCAGACCCCTCGGCAGGCACTGAGGGTGCAGCTCCAGTTCATTATCACTGGATTTCGAGACTGGCCTGAGCCAGTTTTATCTGGATTCAGGTAACTCGTTCCACTGGAGCATTCACGTTATCTCTCTGGAGATCTTAAGTAGGGAGCTGAACACGATTGAGAGCAGTTGCCTGATAAAAGAGGCAGAAAGCAAACGCATTCTGCAGGAGACAGGGAATGGAGATCAGTCCTGGGATAGATGGACATGGCCCTCCCCTGGCAGAGGAGATAAAGCTGAGCTTGCAAGAGGTGGAACTGGGCATTTTTAGATATGATGTCATACTGATTTTGTGTGATATCTGCTGAATTCACCTCTGATCTAGCTCACAATAATTTTAATTTAAACTGGCTGGGTGTTTTTTCCAAAAGTTTGGAACACTTTTGGCTTTGAGGAGCTGTTACAGAGGGGGTTGGAACTCCAGCCCTGTGACACAGGTAAACAACGTCTCTGAACCTTCATTGTTACAGCCCAGCTGCAAGTCTGACCCAGAGGAGACAGGATTCTATCCAAGGAGTCTGGGATGCAAATTTATGCAGATGACAGCAATTAGTCTACTGTATATTTGTATTTGTTTGCTTGAAACAGCGGGTGAGGGAGAGGCAGCTACTCTGCAGAGAACATGGAAATTGTAGATTTGTGCTCAAACTGCCAACTTAAGAAAAGCAGCAGAGAATGAAAGACTTGCCTGTCAATTCTATTGGTAGATTGCAGGGAAGTGGGAGGGTAGAAGGTGTTTCAGGACCAGCCACCAACCTCTTGGCTCCTCTTTCTTGACATTTATTAACAAACGTTTGTGCCACGAGTGCCCAGAAGCAAAGCCAGGAGGGCACAGGCAGGAGCAGCAAAGCCGTGCACAGAATGAGGAGCAGGGAAAGTTCATTTGTCAGGGCCCTAATCTGAAAACCCTCTTTGAAAAGCCCAGGGTGAGATCTCTGCATCTCTGAAAGGCTCTGTTCAAAGCCTTGGTAGCAGAGCAGTTCCCAGGAATGTCCAGATGAGCCAGAACACCCGTGGAAGTGGAAGCACACATGGATAATGTGCTCTGTGCTGCATCCACCTCTTTTCCCTCTGACCTCGTTTCTGTGGCCAGAGTGGTCTGCTAAAAACCTCTCCCAGCTCTGGGGCTCCTCTCACACCTCAGGTGACAGGGACAGAAGGTGAGCTGCTCTCTGTGCAACCAGCTCAGAGGATGGAGCAGAACAGGAGTTTAAAATCACCTGCTTTCTGCTGGGAGTGCAGGTTGGCAGCACCTGAGGGCTCTGAGGGGAAAATGAGGACTTCAGACATCTCCTGGTGACTCTTATTACACACAGTGGTGGTGGGATGCAGGGATAAAACCCAAAGCACAAAGATATTTGTGCTGCCTGCAAAAAGCCCTTTCCACTTGTGCAAAATTCCTCTTGTCAAGGCTGCCTTAAAGGGGCTGTTGGATCAGTTATCAGGGAAATGGGAAAAATTCAGGGTCAAGTTAGTTCCTGGTGTAAATCCTTTGGTTGCTTCATACCTGTTGCAAAGTAGACCTTGAGTCTTTTGGAGAAAAACAGTTGGAAAACTGCTGGGCTCTCAAAAGTAGCATAGTTCTCACCTCAGTTCTGATGTGCTGAAAAGATGGGATTTTCTGTGAACTTTTCCCAAAGTCTTGCTTTTTTTTTTGCCTTTTTTTTTTTTCCTTCTCTGAGAGGGGGAGGAGTTGTGCCTAAAAAAAACAAACCCAACCTGTCCTCCTCAGCTCTGCCAACCTGTCAGTCCAGCCATGCAAGAGAGAGAGACAGAGAAAAAAGAAAGGAGGGAGTGAAGCAGAGATTCTTTCAAACCTCGGCAGGCACTAAGGTAAAGGCCGTTTCTCACTTCCTTAATTGCGCTTTTCTCTGTGTCTGTTGTGTGTAAACAGAAATTCTGTTACCTTAGAGAGCTTTAAACTAATTCAACGACCTGTGTGGGAATCAACTGCGTACCTTGTTTAACTGGAAGGGTGTTTTGCAGCTTGTTATAGTTGTTGTTTGGAAACACAGTTTCTGGGTCTGAAATTCAGAAGGAGAGTTGGTGTTCATTTGAATATTAAAAAGAGGCAGAGCTCTGGTGCTTGTTTGGGGACGATATTAAGCTGCGTGATTTCAGGGCTGAAGCCTCTAATTACTGCAGATCGGGGGAAGAACTTGTCAGAGGAGGGAATTCCTTCCAAAGCTGCCAATTGCAGCTCTCACGCCTTTTCCTGGAGGATTTGGTGTCAGCCGCTGGTGGGGATGGGACGTGAGAGCACAGAGACTGTGGGGCTGATCCAGCCTGGTAGTTCCTCCTCTCCTTTCTGTGCGTTTCTGGAGGGGTTTTAGCAACTTGTCATTAGCAGGGGAGGTGCAAAGCCAAGGTGCAGCAAACCTGCCCTCCCAAATTCTTGAGTCAGGAGGGCAGAGCAGCACTTTGAGCTCATCCCAGGGAAATTGAGGGTTGCAGACTGTGAGAAAGGTTGGCTGAAATGAGGGTGAGTCAGAAGAATTACTGTGCCCCAGAGCCTGCCTTGGGAGCCTGCTCTGAGCAACCAATTTGTTGGAATGATTGTGGTAGAGAGAGCCTGGGAGTGAAGGCCTAAAACACAAGAATAGGCACAGTTTTGTTAGATCCGAGTGTCTGCATGAGGACCTGTGTGAGTGTGCACAAAGAATCTGCTGAGAGAGTCTGACCTTTGGTGTGCCACGAAAATCCACGAACAAAGGTGAGGGAGGAAGAATCCTGTTCATCCACCTCTGAAATCCCCCTGTTTCTGTATTTCCAAACCCTGAGTAAACATTTGAAGCTGCTCTGAAAACTCTGTAATACCTTTGTGAGTCAGCTGAGGCTCTGAGAAGGTCGTGTAGGAGGCAGAGTGGTGGACAGGATTTCCCTCCCTCGACGTATATTCGGGGTTTTCACTCCTGCAGCCAAGGTGTGCCTGTCAAAGGTGACCTGTCTGGTAACACCAACCTGCCAGACAGGACAAGCTGAAAGATGGCAGAGAAAGACAATACAGCTGTCATGTTGCTCCCTGAATGGGTTGGAATGTGTTTGCCAGGGGTTTGGTTACACAATCCTGCATCCTCCTTGCTGTCAAACTTCCTCCAGCGCTGGTGCCTGTGCCGTGGTTTTGGATCAAAGCTCTCCTCCCATGGCAGGGACCAGCACAGAGCTGTGAGCCTGGGAAGAGGACAGAGAGGATCCAGACTAGAGAGGGGTGGTCTGTGAGGGGGTCTGTACAGATAAAAAAGCTGGCAGTGTCCTGGTGTTCCATCACTTCCCTTTCCTCTGGTGCTGTGGTCATTGGGAGCGTCGTGCTGGTGTTCCCTATGACCCCTGACTCATTCCCTGAGGGAGTGGTGATACAGAGTGAGACTCTAAGCTTTTAATACACAGAAGAAATTCTTTTACAGATAGTAGGTTTTGTAGCATTATTATGAGCTTTCCTGCTAGAGCCAGAGTAGAGAGGGAAGTGCTTTTCCAAGTGAACCTAGGAGATGGAGAAAAGGAAGTGAATGCTTCAGTTTTGGTGGGGACAAACCTTCCTACTCCTGGTTACAGTAGCAGAAATCAGACACTGAGGGAAGGAAAGGAGGACAATCCTCTAACTTCCATGATCTGCAAAGACTTCATTGACTAAACTCAAAGCACTTCTGCATCTTTTTGCTTTCTCTTCTCTCTTCTCTTCTCTTCTCTTCTCTTCTCTTCTCTTCTCTTCTCTTC